ATATCTACGAGAGTAGATAAAGGTATGTCGGTAGTTTGTTGAGATAGCCATTCTCCTGCAACAGTTGAGTTTCCTATGTAAAAGGCATCCAGTGATGTCGTGGCGTTGCACCCTTCTATACTAGTAGGAAGGGTTGGCTGAGGTACCTTTGCAAGAATTGCCCCAATGCCTAACCACAGTCCCACTACGAGAGAACTAAGAAGACCAGTTCCAGCTCCCTAAAAATACAAATAAATCCTTGGCAACAATGCGGTGCTGTCCTAATCCCTGGACGGAGATTAGTGCAAACCTACGCGTGCCGCCTGCTCTCTTAGAAAAGAAAAGTACATATCAAACAACTAAGAGCAACGACTTGAAGCTGTGTTTACACTATGGATAAAGCTGGGTTTAGACTATAGGANATTTTCTGGAAGAGAACACAATAATATAACGTATTTTTAATTTAGATTTTAGAGTTAACTTCTAAATTTAACGTTGAACCTTAAAGAAATGTTACAATACCGGATGTAACGGGGGATTAGCTCAAATGGGAGAGCGCTCGTCTTAGCATGCGAGAGGTAGCGGGATCGATACCCGCATCCTCCAAAAGTTTTCCTGTACGTAGTAATACGTACAACATCGTATCGCATTTTAAATTTAGATGGTTCGAGTTAACTTCTAAATTTATCTTTGAACCTTAGAGACATGTAGCAGCGCAACATATATAACGGGGGATTAGCTCAAATGGTATAGCGCTCGCTTAGCATGCGAGAGGTAGCGGGATCGATACTAGCATCCTCCATACTTACATACATTCTAACATATACCCTTTAGTATAAACTTATAGATAATTTCAAAGCATAGCTTTAAACCTTACGGAAGTTTTAAAAATTGGAATTTAACTGAGGATTAGCTCAAATGGTTTAGATATCGCTTTACATGCGAGAAGTAGCGGGATCGATGCACGCCCACACGCACACGCGCGCATACGCACGCACACGCACACGCGCACACGTGCACACACGCACGCATACATGCATCTTCTATTGTTTTCCTGGCAGAGATATTTATGTGTGTATACGGTAGAGGTAGCAGGATCAACAGCGGCATCCTCAACAGTTTTCCCAGCAGAAATAACTCGCCAGACCACCCATAACAGTTAAACATTAACTATTATCTGAATATAATCTATCCTAATATAATCTGAGGGTGATTAGCTGAAATGGTATCGCGATCGCTTAATTTGTATGCGGGAGGTAACGGGATCGACACACACGCACGCGCACGCACGCGCACGCGCACGCACTTACCCGCACGCACCCGCACTTACCCGCACGCACACACACACGGTCGATAACGTAAAAACTTTGAACATCTGATAGAGAGGTTAATTGATAGAACGCAGAAAAACCCATCATCTTGTCGATTTTCCTATAGTCTAAACCCAGCTTTATCCATAGTGTAATTTGTAAACTCAGCTTCAAGTGGTTGCTCTTAGTTGTTTGATATGTGCTTTTCTTTTCTAAGAGAGCAGGCGGCACGCGTAGGTTTGCACTAATCTCCGTCCAGTGATTAGGACAGCACCGCATTAACACGTGCATCGTTGCCAAGGATTTCTTTGTATTTTTAGGGAGCTGGAACTGGTCTTCTTAGTTCTCTCGTAGTGGGACTGTGGTTAGGCATTGGGGCAATTTGAGGCAACTAAGCGGATATTATTAGTGTGTTTACTTGGGTTACTAACCTAAGCGCAGCACTGTACACAGCCGCTACGAATAATCCAGATACACCATTGAGAAAACTCAACGTCTCCATGACAAATAATGGGAAGAGCTAGAATAGAAAAGATATCAGATGAAAATTATTAGGTACGAGTTGTCTAAATAAAGAAACGAGCTAATAAACAAATAGATTCATGCGTATTTTAATGTACGGGCACGTCACGTGTCGTCTGACGTAACATAACGCTACAGCGGCGTCCGAACCCGAAATAAAAATGTCAGTGTATAGTTTACCTTAGTTATTTATGACTTATTCTTTGACTTATGATAGTATTATGCCATGACTTATGACATGTCGGCGTCAGGGCCCTAATTCAGAGTTACTGTATATAATCAAACCATGTATTCACGACCTATTACACGCAGTGACACGCAAAAGACATAATACATAATATTCTTCATAATATCTATTCTATATAAATTATATAATATATAAAAGACATAGAAGATGCGTTTACCTGATCGGGTTTTGTAATTTGTCCATTCTGCTGTGGATCACAGTCTCTATATTTGACGTACATAATAATTTCCACCGCATAATGTGAAAATCCACTGGATAGCAATCCAAGTGGAGCCATCATGTAGCAACATCTGCAATAGTCATTACGAACGGAGGCAAATCAGAATTATTCAATCAGAATAGAGGACTAGTGGTCCGTAAGTGCTATACACAAAGAATAACCAAATCTGTAGATAGTGTTTTATGATATAGTGTACAATAGTAGCCCTATAGTTGGTAATTAGTGATTTTAGTATAGCTATATATGCCTACCCACGAGTCACTTACAGCTGGGACTTTCTCAGAGTAGAGACAGTCAAGTATCTTTGCACGGTGGCTTGATTTGTTGCGTACAATGTGAGGAAAAATCCTGTGCCACCAATCCACAAACCCCAGGTCGTCTGTCTAGCAGTGAAGTCCGTACTCCAACTAAGTTTAGTATTGGTAGAAAAAAAACGATAACTATTTGATTATAACTCAGATTATAAATTTTTTACAGTAAACAAATTTTATGTCCGGTATAACTGAATTAGCAGTTATTCAAATCAACGCATACTCACTCAAAGAATTGTATTCTTTCTCCTTCGTTGGCTATGCTCCACACTGTACTAAGGCCGCCTAGCTCGATAGTGCCCTTAATAACCACGAATAAACTTCCAGCGATGACTCACAAATTCATTTGAACGGTAGTTTCGGTCCACATGACCGCCTTTATTCCTCCCTGAAAACGTAGCAATGACATATCATCACAACTCACAGTAGGTTAGAAAACTGACACATACACACGCACGCACGTACACACACGCCCGCGTGCACGCATGCACGCACATGAGCCCGCGTACACGCACGCAAATACAATATATGCGTATTTATATGCATATAGCATATTATAACGTCTTCTTCGCATTATTATTATTATTATTATTATTATTATTATTATTATTATTATTTAGGATAGATGAGTTATAGCAACTTACAATGCTCGGTGTAGAACGTGCATATTAATCAGAACTCAGTATTGATGCCGTGATAGACAGACCTGTCGCTAAAAAAAAATAGATAAATATTACGTGGTTCAACGCATTTTACTATGGACATGCAGAACATCTTAGTAAAAAAGCTGATGAATGCACGTTAATAAACAATAGAATGTTAGATATTAGATATATAGATTCGAATATAGATGTTAATAAATACTGTTGTGCACGAATACTATTATAGCCTACTCGCAATTGGTTATAGCAGAAACTTGCAGATGGTGACACATATTTACCTTGAGATAGCGCGAGCTGAGCAGCGTAAAGTACAACGGCCATGTAGAGTGATCTGGTGTGAGTTGCGTTGATGTGTGCAGGAAAACCCCGAAAAATAAATTAGGAACAAGCAAATGCAAAATAACGCAGGCAAAAAAACTAGTTACACTTAGATTTTAGTCAGAGATTTATTCGTGTATTATCGGGAATCCATCATTTAGCTTCCGTGTAATAAAGAAATCATTTACGTACTGACATGAGAATGATATTGTGTAATTATAATGTAATTATAAATGTAATTATAATGCTTAAATCGGAACTCAATATTTTGTCGTTCTTAACCCCATGCTCACAAGAAACACGGCATGTCCCCATCAGGCGAACACGCCGGTAAAGGCGAGCTCTATGTACTGCAGAGAAAGAGAGACAGTGTGTACAGCCAGTCATGTGGACGCTTCGAAGCTCACAGAGTTTCTTAAGCAGTTCTTGAGTGGAGTGTGAAACACGCAGCGATTGATTTAGTAGTTGTTTCAACATCACGTTATACTTTTGATAAATATATTATATCATCATCATTTTCTTATCTAGTAATATATACTCTATTATACTATATACTTATACTATATACTAATATTTATATATACTATATATATATATATAATATATATAGTATATATACTTAGAATAAGCGTTGGTGAGAAAGCCCTGATATATCTATTGTAGTGTTTGGCTTCGTATACCTCGTCAGCACTTGTCACCCTGTAGACGTGAACACAGGTAAGATATGATGTGAGCAGTGAGAGCCATGGCAGGATAGTCGCTAGAAACATCATTTCGTCCAATATATTGTTCAAACGGTAGCGTTTCAGACGGAACGCGAGCACGGAAATGGCGGACACGAAACTTGCCTATCAACGACATCGTCACCGGACAGACCCATCTGCCTGTTTCCCTCTAGGAATTCCTCGTCGCTCTCTGGTTTCACCCGATGCCATGCAGAATATACGCGCATGCCGGCAGAAAATAACGCAGCGATGCGGCGAAACAACATAGTCAACGATCGTGAAACACGTGCTCCGCAATTGCTAGATTTCGGTTATATCTCGATCATATCCAAACTTATCTGTTGTGTTTGCTCAATGTTTTTCGTGCCGTAAAGTGCCTCGCACATTTGCCTGTTCACGTTTTTATGAATTTCGAGTAGCACCGGTAAGCGACAAATCCCTCATATAATTTATACGTCGCTAGTTTCGTCTTTCGTCACTGTCACGCGGTGTTGTCTCGTCAACCTTAGCTAGTTATATCACCGTCTCGTATCGGCAACACTATATAATGTACCAGGAGTAGATAACTAGGAGCTACCAGGAGTTGATAAGTAGCGGTGTTAGGAGTACCATGGAGTAGGCAGTCGATAAGCATAGCATAGATAGGCATAAGTACCAGGAAGTAGATAATAGTAACTAATTATCTACTCCATGATATGTACTGAACCGGGCGATATAAAGTTGTATAGGAACAAATTTAGATCAGTCTGAACACTTTCTTCTAAGCGTAAAAATGCAAGAGTTCCGGTGGAGCGTATCGCATTACTTCGTTTATGGATAAGCTGATAATAATGCGCACAGGCGCAATCTCGAGATTGTCGCCACAGGCTGCCAATCGGTAGATTGCGCCTTGCCGCAGATGCACACTAGTGTTTTGCTCGGCCTCCGCGAATCCGACCATGTTAACGCGTTACTTCGAACAAGTCTCTGTTGATGGCACATTTATGTATATAATATATTATTTATAACTCGTCTGGCTATATATCATATATATATATATTATATATATATAAATAAATTAAATAAAATAGATATATATATAAAAAAAATATATATATATATATAATATATATCGAAGTTCGAGCCTCAGACAGATGTCAACGACGTTTTTTCTTGTGCTGTCGTATACTTCTCCTTCTCTCCCGACTGTCCACAGATCAGGTTGTCCCGGTATAGCTACAATGAAAAATATAGGAAACACGGATATAACAGCTATATCACACAGCTTAATATGTCTTTATTTTTAGGCTAGTCGTAACCACAAAGAGATGTTATTACACAAGATTCTACGACATTGCAGTTAATTATATTATTTTAAAATTAACTTAATTAAGTTTCAAATATTAATGAATTAAATTATCATTGAGTCATCTATATTAGTATTTCATAATTTCTATTAGGCACAGTACCCAGCTCATTCATGTTGATGTAATATCACAGTCACTCGAGGCCTTAAAAAACACAACCTGATCTTGCCTCGCTATACTTTTTTCAGCTTCTTCCCAGCGATTTGGCGTGCCCACAGAACTTTACTTTCCTAACCAATGGATTAACAAGTATTGGGTCAAGATCCGTTTTCTGTCCTCCTGAAGATATAAATTAATAGATATAAAAAGATATAAGCAGAGACAATACGTGTATAGTAAAAAACGCAACACATGACATCGTATATCTATGATCATAATAAGGTATTTGTTCTAGTATTATTTTACCTGTTGCCAGGCTAACCAGAAGACCAACCACGCAGCACATAATCACAGTAATGACACTGTACCAGAAGTGGGAGATCTTATAAAACCAAATTACATCGTCTCCGTCGTGTCCACTAGAATGAAGAACGTAATTATAACGTGTAACATATCCGTGAAAGTGTTATAGGTTCCGTGTGCATATTCCTCTGGAATATATCAATTTCGGGCGCCGATTTAGAATAAATAGGTACGAGCTAGCGACGTCATTTCTAATTATCGCTACGATGGCATAACATCTTTCAGATACTAGCATTTAAATAGAAATGTATAGATATTGCACTTGAGTACCTCAATATTATATATATATATATATATATATATATATATATATATATATTTTAATATTGATATTAATATTTAATATGATTTATAATAATAATTATTTAATTATTTATACATTTATAATAATTATATTAATATATATCTATCTATCCAACCATCTCTATATACATTTCCAGTTTTGCGACCTTCAATTCACGATCTGTGTTCACTTACTCATTGATATCCACGTGAGTAGATAAAGGTATGTCGGTAGTTTGTTGAGATAGCCATTCCCTGCAACAGTTGAGTTTCCTATGTAAAAGGCATCCAGTTCATGTCGTGGGCGTTGCACCCTTCTGTATACAGTAGGAAGTTGCTACGGTTACCTTTGCAAG